AGCACAGGGGAACAGGAGCAGAGGGAATGACAAGAAATAACATTTTAATAGAGGGGGAAATATAAATAAAGTTAACTAAGCCGGTGTTTGTGGTCATTTAACATGGTAATTGCACAATTTAGATCAAAAAGATTATTTTAATTAATATTTTTTTTAGCTAGGCTCGTTTTGGTCTAAAAATTTCAATTGCATTATCACTTCTCAAAAATTCATAGTTTTTTGAATAACTCTTTTAAAACGGATTTAAAGTCAGCAAGGTTCCATCTGTAGAACCTGCTCAAACCGTTGGGATTGTAGGATTGACTGTCAGCTTTCTTTCTAGCATTTTTTTAAATAAGTATGGTCGAATCTGGTAATAGTAACTTTGATCTACCCACTTAACTGCTACAGTAAATACACTTCCCTGCCTAAACCAGGCATTTTAATTTCAAATCAAAAGTCATTGTTACAACAGCCTGCACATATACCTTACTGTTTTAGCCCGTGGATGTTGCCCTGGAGATCTGCAAAGGCTCCTGAGAAGTGCAAGAATGAAGGCCTGGCATAATTTTGTTACAAGACACGGAGGCTCATATTGCATATCCCTTTCTTCACTGTCCACCAATAGCAGCAAAGAATACAAAACAGAATGAAAAAATAATGCATACATAATAACATAGACTACACCCAGCCAATTCCCAGTATAATAGAAGGTACCACCGTCAGATCTCTCTCTTTCTTTGCAGCTCCACAGTCAGATAAGTACCTAATTTTCTCTGTTCTCTGGGTTTTTTGGCACTCTTTTTACCTGTATGGAGGTCTTTTGTTGTATTCCTATCCTTTCTCATTTTTCTATTTCTCTTTCATCTATATTTGTGGTTTTTTTGTTTTGGTACCTGCTGTCTGAGTTTTTTCTGCCTTTGTCTTGTCGTACTCTGTTTTCTTTTGGTGCTCCTGTGTTTTTCCCTATGTTTCTGGGGCTCCCTGGAAGTCCCGGACCGCCTTGGCACCCTTTTTGGCCCCCCTGTTTGGCTCCGTTCAACCAGTGTGGCGCTGGCGTTCAGACGTTTGCTTGAACTAATGCCTGATCCGCTTGTTTCGTGGCCGCGTTCAATTTCGCAAATGCTATTTCACGTTCGCAGACTTATAACCGCACGTTTGGCTATTTTTACTCTTTTGCGGGTTTTGACGTACTGGATGCATTCGACCTGCGAACGAGCTTAGTTCGCAATCTGAACGCACCTGTTCTGTGACAGTGTTTAGCCGCGTTTGTGGGTTTTTTGCCTCTCGCGAGTGATGGCCTGGCTCCGCAGTCGAGGCGTTTGCCTAATTGTCTACCTGGACGACATCCTGATCATCGTTCAGGAGCGCTCCATCCTCATGCACCATATGCGAAAAATACTGCCTGAACCCATCTAAGCGCATGGAATTTCTGGGTTTCCTTGAGGAATTGTTGAGCCTTCCGTCGATTTGCAAGGAACATCGCAGGGCACTCCTCTGTCTGAGGATCACCCTGCATCACTTGGCACGGCTTATCGGCCTGCTGGCCTCGTCTATCCAGGCGGTGTTCCCGGCCCCTCTGCATTACAGGGCACTCCAAAGGTTGAAAATAGCTCATCTGCGAGAGGGATTGTCTTACGCGGATATGGTTACCCTGTATGGCGAGACTAGGGATGAACTGCAGTGGTGGATCGTGAACCTGTCTGCATGGAACGGTAGGGTGATTTTTTTTGTTCACAACCGGAGTTCACCATAGACTCGGACACGAGTCTCCACTGCTGGGGTGCACACTGTGAAGGTGTGTCAACGGGAGGTTGTTGGTCGGACTCCGAACCCCGGCTCCACATCAACGTGTTGGAACTTCTGTCCAGTTATTTCGCAATCTGGAGTTTCGCGAGGGACCAGGCACAGGCATGCATTCGCCTTCACATGGACAACATCTCGGCTGTGAGTTATGTCAATGGACGGCACCCAGTCGGTGGTCTTGGCCAGATTGGCGAGAGAATTTTTGGGAGTTCTGTCAAGCTTGGAATTTGGTGGTCCAAGTGGAATATCTACCGGGACTACACAATGTCCAGGCGGATTGGAATTCACGGTATCTTTCAGACAACAGCGATTGGAAATATGACGCGGAGGTGTTCTCAACTGTATTGTCTCTCCGGGGTCCTTTTGTTATAGACCTCTTCGCCTCACAGCTCAACGCCCAGCTCCCACAGTTTTACATCTGGAGACCAGACCCAGCGGCAGAGGGAGTGGACGTTTTCCTGCAAGAATGGCAAGGGGGTCTCCTGTACGCGTTTCCCCCTTCTCCATGATTCCAGGCCCACTCCTTCAGGTTTGACGCCAACAAACCGAAATGGTGCTTCTGGCTCCTTTTTGGTGGATGCAGTCAGGCTACCCTCAACTTCTGGAGATGTCGGTGGATTGTCCCAGGCCTACTTCACGATCTGTCAGGTGGTTGTCACCCTCTGTTGGTGGACGGATCCCTCCTTCTCATGGCATGGCGGATTTCAGGGCATCCTGGGAAGTCCAGGGGGTTTCAGAGACTACTCAACGGTTGTAGGTGGACGTATGGGCTCTCAGAACTAGATGATCATATGGGTCAGCTTGGCGAGCTTAGGCTGGCTGGTGCCTGGCTAGGTACGTGGATCCCATTTCAGTCCCTGTGACAGAGATTCTGGAATTCCTGACCTATCTGTTTGACGCTGGCAGGGCTCACCGAACGATCAATCTGTACAAGTTCGGCAATATCTTGCCAAACTTGTACAGATTGATCGTTCGGTGAGCCCTGCCAGCACTGGGGTTTTGATGGTTGCCCCGCGGGCGAACATCCTTTAGTATGTTGACTCCTGCGCGTCTCTGTCTTTCCCATCTGGGCCATATTATTCATCCATTTGGGATGTCTCGGTTGTTCTGTCTTTTCTCTCTGCCTGGCCTTCTAACCAGGATCTCTCATTACGCCAGTTGTCGGCTAAATTGATTTGTCTCTTTTGTCTCATTTCTTGCAAAAGGGTGTTGAATGTACATGCTTTGGATTTTGATGCCAGGTCATACATTCCAGAGGGTGTGACTTTTTAATATTTCCAGACATACTAAGACTTCTATTAAGTCGGTATCCAACTTTCCCTTCGATGCTGGCTTTATGCCCAGTAGGGTATTCACACAAATATGAAGATCGTACCAGGCCGCATCGTTCCGCGTCTACACCTCAACTTTTCTTGTCTTTTCGTTCCCCTTTTGCCCCAGTTGAGAGCGCTACGTTGTCCCGATGGTTGAAGTGGATTTTGGATCAAGCTGGTATCGACGTTGCTGTTTTTGGAGCGCATTCTGTTAGGGGAGCCTCTGCTTCATCGAGGATGGCAATGGGCGCACATCTGAAGGACCTTGTGAGGATGGCCGATTGGTCGCAGGATCGATGTTTTGTGAATTTCATTTTCGCCCTATTATTCATGTGTTTTCTGCGGTGGTTGATTAGCTTTATACTTGCAATATGAGCCTCCTATTACATGACGTAAAGTCATGATTTTATTAAAGACACATAGGCAAGTATTGTCCCACACGTTATGAAGCAATTTCTCAGTTTTTGTTTTTTATTTTTCACACCTGTATTGTTTGTTATAGGCGATTGGATTTATTGGTATGGTGGGGCATTGTATTTATGAGGTTCGGTTTTGATTATACCTGTTTATAGTTTTGGGATGGGCTGCTGCTCGTTATGGATTAATAGATTAATGCCTACAATGCTTCTGGCATTGATGTTGGTCTATGGTACCGATCTAACCCTTGGGCTCCTGTTCTTTATGTTTTCACAGCATAATCTGGTCATGTTGATGTCTCTTTCATCTACCTTGGGGGAGCATTATCTTGTTGGAGCTGTTCCTTGGATGTTCCGAATTGGTTTCCTGTTGTGGATTAAATGGTCCTGTATTCTCAATGAAGACCTTCTACGTTTCGTTTTCTGAAGAATTATGTCTGCTGGTTTCCTGTTTTGCTGACTTTTTCTGTTGTGGTGTGTCGCATCTTCAAGAAAGAGGGAGATCTGAGGGTGGTGCCTACTGGGACATGGCTGGAAGTGGCCTATGTTATTATGGATTCTTTATTTTTTACTTCTGTTTTGTATTCTTTGCTGCTATTGGTGGACAGTAAATCAAAGGATATGCAATATGAGCCTCTGTGTCTTTAATAAAATCATGACTTTACATCATGTAATAGGAAAATCATGTAATTCACAGTCACAAGAAGGCAAAATGAAACAACTGTAGTAAAGGGGTTAATGACATTGTTGATTCCATAGAAAGGCAGTGTGCAAAGTGGTTTTAGTCTCCTGAGGAAGACAAGTGGGAAAGTGCAATATAAAAATAGATCATAGTTATCTATCTATAGAGAGATTAAAAAAAACCTGTAGCAGCAGATATCCTATATTCCATGGTAATGTTTAGATTCAGTAACACAGTAGGATTAACTATAAGGCTACACTGAGCAACCATCTAGAGCCCAGGGGTTAGACAGAGGCCCCGGAATCATGTATTCACCTGGCCCCAAAAGCCATCTCCATGTGAAGAACGAAGGCGGGAGGGTGGGAGTATATTGGTAACCTACCTACGGCCCCATAAGATCCTTCTCGGCATGATAATAATCTTTTTTTTGTTTGTTCTTAGGACAGAGAGTGAAGACAGGTGAGTTCTTATTTCTTACTACAGTGATCACTAATCAAATCATATTTAAAGTAAACACTCCAAGCACCAGGACCACTACAGGGTACCTGGCTAATGGTTTGACTTATTACTAAAGTGGGCTCATTCAGAACCTGTTTTTAAAAATTTGGATGTTGTTAAATAGTTTGAATGTCTCGATGTTATAGTCTAAATTGCTCCATACAGCACCTAATGGATTTGCCCATTCAGTAAAGGCCGTTTGAGCTTTAGTGAATGTCCAGCTCATTCCTTTATTTCTACTTTTAGATGTTTGTGCAATGCAATGCAAGACCTAGGCATTCTATACATATTTATAATTAATATTACAGACCCCCAACGCAGATTACCCATGTACCTGATGACAATGACCTTGATGAAGTTGATGAAGAGGAAAAAAGGTACACTTTTCATGTAAACTAAGAAAACTAATACCTTATATAATCTTCCACTTCTGAAAAAAAGTGATATATAGATGTAGGGCTGGTGCAACTGTTGGGAGAATTAGGCATTCACCTAGGGCACCGGCGCCCCACGAGATATATCCTGGTGGGCTGCCCCTGTCTTGGGCCAGAGCACTGGGCGAGCGGCACTTGAGCTCCCTCCCGCTGCCCCAGCACCGGGTTGATCCTACAGGAGCCCAAAGGTGGGGGCACCGAGAGGAGCCCTGTCACAGGGGAGCCAGGAGGCAGCCATGTGGCCCCCAAGCAGTGCTTTAATTGGTATGGCAGAGCAGGCACCTGCTTACATTGATGGCAGGTGCCTGCTCTGCCGACAAATTCCAGAGGAGAGGAGGGAGCGGGTGAAGCAGGCAAGAGTTGGCAGCTGTGATGCAGGGAGGCGGAATATGATGAATTTCCAGTCCCTGCATTCTAAACAGCGCCCTAGCGGAGTGCGGAGTTACCCCACACGGGACCCCGGGGATAGGAGAGGACCCAGACCAGCTCTCCCAAAGGTAGGGAGGCTGGGTGGCCCTCAAAAAAATTAATTGTGTGAGTGTGTGTCTGTCTTTCAGTGAGTGAATGTGTGTCTGTCTGTCAGTGAGTGAGTGTATGTCTGTCAGTGACTTAGTATGTGTCTGACTGTCAGTGTGTGTCTGTCAGTGAGTGAGTATGTCTGTCAGTGTGTGTATGTGTGTCTGTCAGTGACTTAGTATGTGTCTGTCCGTATGTGACAGACACACAACTGTAGGTAGGGAGGCTGGGTGGCCCTCAAAAAAATTAATTGTGTGAGTGTGTGTCTGTCTGTCAGTGAGTGAGTGTGTCTGTCAGTGAGTGAGTGCGAGTGTATGTCAGTGAGTGAGTGTATGTCTGTCAGTGACTTAGTATGTGTCTGACTGTCAGTGTGTGTCTGTCAGTGAGTGAGTATTTATGTGTGTCTGTCAGTGAGAGTATGTGTGTGTTACATTGTATATGTATGTCAGTGAGAGTATGTGTGTCAGTGAGTGTGAATGACCATGCAAATCGATTATTATATATTAAATTATATTTAAAATATATATTAATACAGTTATATTATATTTTTAATAAAGCTTGCTTAAAGTGAACCTGTCAGACAAGTTCACTGTAAGATAAATTAAATCCCACTATTGTTATAAATTATATTTTGCATTAAATACATAATTTATTACAGCGATAAATTATGTATTCAATGTAAAATGTATGTATTAGGCAGTATGTGTGTATGGATGTATGTATTAGGCAATATGTGTGTATGTGTAGGTATTAGGCAGTATGTGTGTATGAATGTAGGTATTAGGCAGTATGTGTGTGTTGATGTAGGTATTAGGCAGTATGTGTGTGTGGATGTAGGTATTAGGCAGTATGTGTGTATGGATGCATGTATTAGGCAGTATGTGTGTATGTGTGGGTATTAGGCAGTATGTGTGTGTGAATGTAGATACCAGGCAATATGTGTGGGTATTAGGCAGTATGTGTGTGTGGATGTAGGTATTAGGCAGTATGTGTGTGTGGATGTAGGTATTAGGCAGTATGTGTGTGTGGATGTAGGTATTAGGCAGTATGTGTGTATGAATGTAGATATTAGGCAATATGTGTGTATGAATGTAGATATTAGACAGTATGTGTGTATGAATGCAGATATTAGGCAGTATGTGTGTATGAATGCAGATATTAGGCAGTATGTGTGTATGAATGTAGATATTAGGCAGTATGTTGTTTATGGATGTAGGTGTTAGGCAGTATGTTATTTATGGAAACCATATGGCAAAATGTAGGCCAAAATAGCTGGTCTATAAGAATTCTCCAATTAGGCTACAGTTGCAATTCAGCAGTTTTTGCTTAAACTTTGCAAGTTGTTTTTCAACTCCCTGCAATTCAGAGTTTAGTGAATAAACCTCTGTGAGATTGTATTTGCTTTCATGAGGGACAGCAAAATGGATCTTTGCCTAAGGCGGCATAAATCCTTGCACTGGCCCTGAAAAAAAAATAAAATAATATATATATATATATCTCTGCTAATGTTACCTTTTCATTTCTTTAACCACTTCATGACATGTCCTTCTAAGATTATCATTGGAGAGGAAAATTCAAATGTTGTGCCTGTTCAGTTGTCATGATGGGATGGGAAGATTCCAGCTTTTTTATTGTATAACATAAGAATCTAAATTGAAAAATTCAAAATGGTTTTGAATTTTTCAAGATGATCTGTTTTAGCCTCAGTTTTGCAATATTTATTTAAATTCAATACAAATCAGATAAACGTAATTAACCTTAAATGCGTTCTTTTTTTTATTTGTACAGATAGCAAGGGGGCGAAATGATAAGGGGCACTGTGATATTATTCCATATTAATTTAGAATGATTGATCATTACTGAGCACATTAAACTCTTATAGATAGTTAAGATGGCGCTGGTAAGCATATAAGTACACACAGGCAGTATCACTAGATGCAGGCCTGTATACCACAGCTACTAATACACAGCACTGAAAATGTTAATAACCACAAAACACAGCACCAGAATGACTCATGCATACCATCACGAGATAATTATTGTTACATCGCTAGCTTTTAGATCAGAAATAATTAACTGCACAGACCTGGCATGGTATTGTTGGTGGGCCTGAACAGCCGGGCCAGCTGCCGGTCCCATCCAACGCTTTTGCAAGGTCTTTGCTGGGCTGCACTGATAAGGAGACTTGATGGAAAAGTACAGACTATCTATCCCATTGGTAAGTCTCTGTTAAAAAATGTATAAAAGATGAGAAAATTTGGCTTTGAGTACTACCCACCTGTAATACGGACGTGTATTGCTGGTTCTGCTGATAACCAGAAAGATAGGGTCCCCTTCAAGCCTGACTGCCAGAAGTTCTCTCAGTCGAGTGCAGCAAACTTCTCTTATGGCGATGTATACTTAAGCTAATATCTAGATGATTAAGCTGTTTCCTTAAGCTGAATGATTACTTCAGTGTCTTTCCCTTTCTCAAATACTCAGTTCACTCATCCCGAATAGCGTTTTGGTGCCCACCAATATCTTTAAAAACCTTAGGGTAATTGATTATTGCTTTTTGATATTGGCGCTTCATGAATAGTGTAGTGTTAGTAATACAGATATGTATTTCTAATGCTACAATGTTTCTTTATGGCACTGGCTTTAATGTAATTCGCTTCTGAAACCCTTCTGAAAGTGTTACAGTGTTTACTGTAAATTGCTGAAGGGACTTATTATACTCACCAGAACCAATGCAATCAGTTGTAGATGTTATGGTTACTAAGTGTCCCTTTAAAATAAAGTCTAAAATCAATCAATATAAAAGCTTCCTTATCCAAGACGCATTTCACCAGTAAGCTTCTTCATGTGGATCTGCAGTTCTTGCTTTTAAAACCCTCTTCATTATATGCAAGCGTGTCCTTCATCTAATTATCCAATCCCCCAAGAGGAAGGGCAAAGTGTTGGCACTCGCCGTGTTAGTCCATGCGAACCCGAAGTAACATATCAGGAATCATCTTAAGTTCACTTCTGGTTAATTTTGGGGAAACCCGGGTCATGTGAGGAAGAGAGGCGTTGCGATCATGAGAACTTGTTTTCTCTGAATTTAACCCAAAGGGACCTTACGGCGATTCCCAATACATCTCTTACTGTTCGCATGGACTAACGCAACGAGTTCCAGGAGTTTGTACTTGCTCAGCCAGAAAAAAAAGTTAAATTTTCTCAGAACAATCAGCATACATTGTTAAAAAATATATCATTAAAGGGACACTCAACTGGTCCAAATAAATTTTTTTTTTTTTAAATCACTGCTTAGTAGATATACCCCTAATGAAAACATGTATGCATTTAATTATGCTTTTTTAAATTGAGGTTTATCTAAAAAAAGCTTGCAAAAGCTGCAGATCTCTTGTCTGCAGTCTTTGCAAGCTGTCTCCTTTTTCCCCGGTCCAGACTTGTTGTGGCTGTCCAATCACAGACTTCATGAGACGTCTTTGCACGGAAGATAATATGGGCAATTATCTGCCTCTTGAATTTATCTTCACTGTTAAACAACAAACAAAGCAACAGGGCCAGTTGATTGACAGTTAGAAGGGTTTAACAAGGTTAATTTGTAAAAGTGCCAATTTCTATTGAAACCTGTATTTTTAGTAAAAGGAAAAAAGAGGACACACTCTTTACACATAAAGTATTTCAGCAAGCTAAAGTGCTCTAGGGGTCTGGAGTGTCCCTTTAAGTTTAGTTCAATGCAATAGCCTTTTAAAACACGAGAAATGACATTCTGATGACAGTTGTTCTTTAATTACATACAGTTGTTATACCATTATAATAGACGTGCAATTAATGTGGGTACACTAGGATGGAATGTCCCTATAGTGTAACGTTTACAATCATAAAAGGTTGACAATAAAAATATGTTTGAATTCAATTTTAATTGTCACGTTTCTAGCAATACGTACTATTACTAATTCTGTCGCTATTTCTTTTTTCACATATGCAAACAAAGGATTGTTGGTAAGGAAAGCAAAAGCAAAGATGGTATTTTTGTAAGAGCCTGAACACTTCCAAAATCCTGTGTATATCCTTCCATATGGATCAGAGGGAGAGTACATGACCATTCGATTCAACGCACACTACACAAATACATCCCCACATTTACATACACCCAGAGGCTTAACTAGGCCACGGGGCCCAAGTGCAAAAATTGCCTTGAGGCCCCGCCATACGTCTACCCCCCGCCACCTCCGCATACGTCTACCTTATCCCTCCCATACGTTGCCCCAACACACATGCAGACACACACATAGCCACACACACACATACATACATGCACACACGTATATATACAGACAGACACATACATACAGACACATACAAACACACACACACGTACATACAAACACACATACATACAGAGTTCGAGCAGCATTCCTGCACTTTTTCTTAGTAGTCCTGCAGGAGGTGGGGCTGCCGATGGTCTGTCACAGGGAGCCCAGCAGGTTGCCATCTGGCCACCTAAGTGCTCCCCAGAACGGCACTTATTTAGCAATGTAGAGTAGGCACCTTCTTGTCCCAGAGGCAGGTGCCTACTCTGCAGCAATATACTGGACTGGGCTGGGGTGAGGACAGAGTTAGGCGGCGGCGAGGGAGCGCTGTCTGAGCTGATGATCTTCCTGCTCCCTCGTTCTCCCTCTATGGTGATGCTGGGAGCCGGAATATGACGTAATTCTGGCCCTGCATCACTAAACAGTGTGAGGTAGGAGAGAGATTTGTCGACACTGGACCCCAGGGAGAGGACTCAGAGGTCTCCTAAAGGTAGGAGAAACAAGCAATACAATGAATTTGTGAGTGTGTGCAAGACTGTGTAAGTGTGTATATGTGTGTCAATAAGGGTGTCTATCAATAAGTGTGTGTGTCTGTCAGTGTGACTTCCAGTGTGTGGGTCTGTCTGTTAGTAAGTGTGTGTGTCTGTAAGTATGTGTGTTTCAGTGTTTGTGTGTGTGTGTCAGTAAGTGTGTGTCTGTCAGTAAGTGTGTGTGTGATTGTATGTGTCTAAACTTGAAGCACAGTATGTGGGAGTGGGCACCTCTAAAGGGACAGAGTAGATACTGACAAGTAATATTAAAGTGCCCTTATGAATAAAAGTGAAATAAGCTGTCCTTTGGGACTTGTAGTAGTTAAAATGTAACTTTTATTAAATATATGCATGATAAAAATAGAATACTTAAAACAAAAAGAAAAAAGGGAAAATACATGTATACACAAATGATAAATAAAATCAGGTAGGGACCCAATTCTTGCACGGTGAAAACCTGGCAGTCTGGGAGCAATCTACTAAACAGTGCTTTCTGGCAGTAAGCCAAACAACAAATTGCTCTGTCTAAACTGGGTTAAATTTGTCAGGCTTACCTGAGTTTTAACCCCAAATCATTCTGACTCCACAAAGAGGACCATCTACACTGACGGCATTAATAAATGAGCACGGATAACTTGGACGTACTCCGGAGAGGCTATCTCCATATACTTGTCTTTGTAAACTGACGTTGGTCTTGGGTGAGTTCTCACACTTTTTTCCCCAGGACTTGACCCATGCATACATACACACACATACATACACATACACCTACATGCAGACACACATACATACAAACATACACACACATATAGAAAATATTTTAGTCATCCTCCTTACCTTTTAGATGCAGGAGAGTGACTTCCCTGGGGTCCAGTGGTGGCTCAGCCTGATGGAAATCAGAGTTCCCACTTTGATTCCCTACTCTCCTTCCTCCTGCGTGGCTCCTGGTAGTTGCTGGGAGGAAGTGACTGGGGCTGTCACTTCCTCCCAGCCTCTGACCTCATCAAAGGGGGCCCGGTCCCGCGGTCCCGCTGTCAAAGCGCCGCAGCGCTAACCGCCCCCCCCCTTCCCCCCCCCGGAAATTCACAGCCATCGGGTGGCCCTAACAGCATGAGCCAACTGTTGGGCCCCTTAACGTGCGGCCCAGGCAGTTATACCGTTCCGCCCGGGGCCACAACGCACCGCCTGGAGTGTTTAATGATTGGATTGAGTATCATCCGCATAGTCTTTCTTCCATGTAGCCATGAACGTGGCTAACATTAACAGTGAGGTTTATTCTTTAAATAGGGTTCTCAAGATGAACAGAATACAGAATTTGAGTATTTTGTAAAATGTCAATTGCTGTAGCCTGTGTTTTGATCAGTGAGTGGAGGCAATCGATAAATATTTTAGGTAACTACATTACCTTCTCCCTAATACTTAAACAGTGCTCTCCCAATGTTGAGAAGTATACATACTCACCTTAAATTATGTACTCATAAAAAGAGGGATACAAATATAGACAAGAGGAACAGAGAACTTGTTTTTTTCCTTTAGTGGAAAATGTGTAGAGCTATAATTTTCAAAACTGTGACTAAATATTATCTAAGTCTCCAAACATAAACCTCAATTTAATATTTAAGATTAGCTTTTTAAAAACCATTTAACATTTTCAAAAGTATTTTGTTTGATATATTTATATATACGATATATATAGAGAGTGATTTTTTTAAATTTTAATAGTTTCAAAAAATTATTTGAAAAGTTTTTTGTAACGTCAAGGCAAAGTCATAAGTTATCAACACAGCTAAACTTGAATATCTTGTATATTTGTATATATAGAAGGTAGATATACTTACCTGAAAATTTATTTTACTGGAAACCACAGTACAGACATGTCACTTTGTGTGCAAAAAATACAAAGAACCCACAAGTGACAGTGCTGCTAAAATAAGAACAATGTCCATCTGTGAAAATAATTGGAATCTCTTTGATTTTCAGATGATAAAAACACTCTGAAGATTCTAAGTTAACTGAAGATTGATCCTGGACTGACTAGAACCAATATTAAAATTATGAAGAACTGAACATGTGTTATTTTATTGGTATTGTTTGTCAGATCGTTATATGGCAATTTAAATTCAATAAAAAGGTCACATTGTATACATATTTTTGTTTTAGACACTAAAAAGACGTTCCAATGCAGCTCAATGAGAAGTCTTTGGTTCTCTGAGCAATAGCTGCCTCTTGAGTTTATCTTCAATAACTAACCAAACCAAGAAGTAACAGGACCGGTTGTCTGACAGCCTGGGGGTGTAAAAAGTGTTTTAAATGTTTGGAGTGTTCCTGAAAACTATAGCCAGTGGTCAACTGAAAATGTAAATCCAAAAGTTAGACCAACATCACTGTACTAAAAAAATGATCTGACTATCATCACTTTTTTGTAACTTTTCCAAAATTCACTGTTTAAGTCCATAATGTACAACTTGTAATTTCTCTCCTTTTTCTTTGCTTGTTTCTTTCTATATTGAACTTTTGTGCATAAGGTATGTCACAAGTGAGCTTTATGAATTGTGGATGTGGGGAGATTGAAGTGCGAGAATGATAAAAGTGAATGTCCTGATTTGTTGATGCTTGTAAGATGAAGTTTCATTGCATATGGCTTGATAATTTACTCTGCTCTAAATTTCTGTCTAAATTTCATGTTTTATTGTTCACCTGTTTCTCCTTTGATACAAAAACTTGAAACATTGACTAAATAAAGATTGTTAAAACAAATTCATTTAGTTATATTTTTTGTATGCATGATTATAGCACGAAAACACATGTATGAATGCTCACTTATATTTGAGAGTATATGGTAAGGGAATTGTGACAAATGCTCCTTTCCACTAATGTTTGTCACAAAAGCCTAAAGGCTTTCAACCGAAAGCTCACTCCGTTGCAGTCGTTCACGCGAACGGTCCTCGGCAGAACTTAGCTGCAAAAGTTATGGAACCGTTTGCAGCTAGAGGACTTTGTGGTATCCAGTTGTCTTGTTTCGATGTTTTGACCCACTTGCCGACCAGCCAGGAGTGTGCTTTATGAAAGGAAGGTGCCCGAGACAAATAGGAATAATAGCTCCCTGAGAGCCAGATGGAGCACCCCGTATTTCGCCTGCAGGAGCTCCCGAAAGTTGACCAACCAAAGCACTAATTGCTCTGGAACTATTTTAGGCATTGGACCACATGTGCGGCCGGTCAGAACTTTACCCCGATGGCAATTCCTCTACACTGCACGGATCTAAGTGCTATTTGGACAACTTTATCTGGGTGATAATTAATTTACTGGTCTTTAACTCAATTAGTTCCCAGGCACAGAGACACCTGGGCCGGGTTTGAATTATATGGAGACCCCCCCGCTGGGGTCTGTGCATAAAAGGCCAAGTTTGGCTCATTAAAGGCAGTTGTACTCCCAGAACTGTGTGTCGTCCAGTTAATGGGGGGATAGAGCTATTCACGTTTCAGCACCCTGTTACAGCTCATGGAGGATTCAGCGTGGAAAGTACTTGTAAGGACTATAGCTCCCAGGACTATGTGTCCAGGAGGGGGAATGGAAGTGATCCATGGCGGAGGTACCCAGCAGGGGTTCATGGAGCTCTGCTACAGGTACATATGCTAATGGTGAAATTACATACCCAGTAACAGTGTGAATGCAAATATAATAGAATGACACACATTTAAACCGACACATATCCACAAATACTGACCCATATGCACACAACACACATATATACTCTTTCCTCACCCACAGTTGTAGTCCAGCTCTCCTTGTGCTGTGGCATATACTTATCACATATAAGGATTTTTAGGGGTATGACTATCCCTACTGGGATGGTTTACCAGGATGATTACTGGCTGCTTCTAGTGGTACCAGCCAATAAAGTAAAAAAAAAAGTGTTTTCAGATGATTTAACAAACACAAAAGAAGGCATTTAAGTTGGAGTGGTTGCAATTCTTAGAGTTTCACTTTAAAGGTTCTGGAGTATAGGTGCTGTCCCGTTACTCTGACGATGTAAAATAATAGAGTTTCTGAGAATTAACAATGTTTACATTTGTCCGACAGACAGACAGTCACTAGAGGCACTTCCTCTTTAAGAACTTTATAAATCATAAGTGTTGACTGTTGATGTAATCATGCAGAACATGGTGATGCTAAGCACAGCTAGAACTTCTCATGGAGAACTTATGAATTCAGTGCATCTCTTTGAGAAGCATCCAATTGGTGTAGTGCATTGGTTGTGCACAGTGTCCCAAATTCTTCATTGTGAAAACCACTGAATTACACAGAGATCATTAATTCTGATAAGCTCATGGTTGCTGCAAGAAAACTTTTCAAGTTTTACAGCATTTTTTTGTTAGTTGAAAAAAGGCCCTAATCTAAAAACGTCAAGAAACACTAATGTTAAACATAGATCTATTTTTAACTCTAGTGATCCATTAATGCTCACTTTAGTTTATTTATCTACTTTTCATTGTTTCTTGTCTATTTCTACTAAGTTGACGATAAATTCTTTGCTTCGTTCTGCTTTCTGTCCCTTGAGTATGCCATAACTGTATTAATGTCTGTGGCAAACCTAGCCACTTAAGACTATTCCTTTATATATAATGGTTGTCCTGGAAAGACTGTTTAATCTATGGTATTTTATGTTGTTCGCTTAAAGAGGTGATAGAGGGCATTCGTATGCCAGTGGCGTGAAAGCCGCTACATTCCTATGGTAGTTTCACGAACAGTGACTTTCAACACTGTTCGTGAAACGAACGAAGTACAGAATGGGAGACCACACACAGGAGGTCGTGTGGCTCCCATTAACAGATTGCAACAATGTATCTTGACTCGGTTAATTGACTCTCAGGGTGGCCGCTGTTTGGATACCGACCATGCGGCGGTGGCCATCTTGGATTCACTTTTATTGATAAACCAAAGATTCCTGTATTCTATCACCTCCCTAAGATCCATAAGCACCTTACCAACCCTCCAGGTAGACCGATAGTCTCGGGTATTGATTCTATATCCAGCAGACTATCGGAGTACCTGGACAAATGCCTACAACCGGTGGTCCAGAAAACTCCCAATTATCTTAAGGACACTTTAAATATCATTCAGATACTACAGGATATACAGTGGGAACAACAATATATTTTGGTAACTGCGGACGTGAGCTCCCTGTACACGATCATTTCACATATTAAAGGTATAGAAGCAGTAAAAATTTTTCAAATAAAGACAAAGCATATCCAGAGGAACAAATTAATTTTATTATAGAGGGAATAGATCTCATTTTAAAAAAAAATTATTTTTGGTTTAACAATGAGTTTTTTCTACAAAAAGTAGGTACCGCTATGGGGACCAGGTTCGCACCAAGCTATGCCAATTTATTTATGGCATTTTGGGAAGAGCAATATATCAATAACAACATGGATTGGAAAGTGAACCTGGTCACCTATAAGCGGTACATAGATGATATATTTTTTATTTGGAAGGGCTCAGAAGCCCTTTTAAAGACTTTTTTAACTTTTTTAGATACTAATGACTGGGGAGTTAAACTAACTACAGAATACAATACCAAGAGCGTGAATTTTTTAGATTTGACAATTTTTATTGAAGACGATCACATTAAAACAAAAACCTTTTTTAAACCTGTAGACGTAAACAACTATATTTTTTTAAATAGCTGCCATTTCTCCCCTTGGTTAAGGAACATCCCAAAGGCACAATTAATGAGAATCCGTAGAAATTGCACTGACACAAGCACTTTTGAAACTCAAGCCATTAGAGTTAAGAATCAATTTGTTGAAAAGGGATATGAGGAAGATCTATTGATAAACACTATAAAAGAAGTAGAAAATATGGAAAGATCTTCCCTCCTGAAATATAAATCTAAGGTGAATGAACACAATGTTTTGCCCTTTATCTCCAATTTTAATCAGGAAAGCCACAGAATAAAAAAGATAGTAAATAAACATTGGCCCATGCTAAGAAACGATCCCATGTTACACTCTATATTACCAGAGAGACCAAGATTTGTATATAGGGGAGCTTCAAATTTGAAACAAAAGTTGGTACATAATCATATAAAAGAAAAACCAATTACACCTTTTTTTCAGAATAAAGGTTTTTTTGGCTGTGGACAGTGTTTAGCCTGTAGGAGTACAAAAAGCACAAAAAGGCACATTAGGGAGTTTCATGACTCAACGAAAGAAAAAGAACATAAAATAAGGGAAATGATCACCTGTTTTTCTAAAAGAGTGATATACGTTTTAAAATGCCCTTGTGATCTTCTATATGTGGGCAGAACGAAACGCCCATTGAATGTGAGAATAAATGAACACATACGGAACATCAAGAAGGGCTATGACAAACACAGTGTTTCAGATCATTTTAGATTACTACATGATAAGGATCCACAGTTTTTAGATTTTTATGCTATTCAAAAAGTCACTTTAAATTGGCGAGGGGAGGATGAAATAAGAAAGTTGGGTCAATTAGAAACGAAATGGATTTTTAATTTAAATACTCTAACCCCCCTGGGCTTGAATGCAGATTTTGAACTTTGCCATTTTTTATAGTTATTCTTCAGGATGCTAGTTTTTTTTTTTTTTTTTATCCATATTTATGTTAATTTTATGCTGGACCTACGGGATACACTAGACTAAATTTATACATTTAATAGTTTTAAAATAACCATAATAAGTAAAAGTCACTAATTATTTATAAAATATGCATTTTAAATATCAGATTAACACAAAGGCCCTCTTTGATACATTGCTAAATAATATTGATTGTTGTATGGAGACATTTGTTGTTATATGTACATTGTTATCATTGTCCTTTCTCCTTTCTTGTATTTTGTTACTATGCTACTGATATATTTATCTTTTGATATGCCCTGAGTATGGTTGTGGAGGAAATGGACTACAAAGAAATAGGTGTTACTTCAATTAAATGAGATCGAGGTGCCATTGCACCATGGGACATGTTGTACCCGAAACCGGAAGTGACGCGACGGCATTTTGCCCGCGAAAACCGGAAGTGACGTCAATCAACACAAAGCATGATGGAACCTGTAGTACAGACGGGCGGAAATGACGTGACGCCATTCTGAGGACACCAGACGCAACTAATACAAACGAGGAGAGGAAATTTTAGGCGGGAATTTAGAACATTTAAAAGGGGACTCAACCCATGACACCATCAGGAGCTGACTGAGGAAGCCGTTTTTTCGGTGAAACGCGTTTTGGCTAACCAGGTGGACCTGTTATCAGACCACTCAATACATTTGTATTATATTTACTTGTTTTTATTATTTTCTAGAAGTATATATACATTTTTAATAGTTTCTTAAATAAACATATATTTTTTATCCACCATTGAATTACACTCTGCGCAAGTGATTCCAGGAAGGGGAAGTGTCACCCCTACTAACTGACACTAGGCTAAAAATACTTAGAGCCAGTTACCACAGGCTCTAAAGAAGGTGAGCAATTTTGTATTTTATTTACATTGATTTATATCGGTATCTAAAATACTACATTTAGATTGGGGATATCTGTGTCTTTTTTCCATGCAACGTGGAGAGGACATTACGCTCTTTTTTTCACCTTGAGAGACGGGTCGTGTGATC